TTTTCTTTTTTTCTTTTTTTTTTTTTTTTGAGACAAGAGTTTAGCTCTTGTTGCCCAGGCTGGAGTGCAATGGCACGATCTTGGCTCACCGCAACCTCTGCCTCCCAGGTTCAGGTGGTTCTCCCACCTCAGCCTCCTGAGTAGCTGGGATTACAGGTGTGCACCACCACACCCGTCTAACTTTGTACTTTTAGTAGAGACAGGGTTTCTCTATGTTGGTCAGGTCAGGCTGGTCTCAAACTTCCACCCTCAGGTGATCTGCCTCCACCCACCTCGGCCTCCCAAAGTGTTGGGATTACAGGCGAGAGCCACTGTGCCTGGCTGGAAGTCTTAAATTATTAACTTGATATCACTATTTGTGATGAGTCTTTTTAAGATGGATATAATCAGAAGCATTAAATTGTACACTTGTGAAAAGTATGAATTTTATGGTATAATTGTATCTCAATAATACTGTCATAAAAAAAGAAAACACATACAAAGCTCCATATTCAGTGTGGTAGATAGAACATGTTCCCTTACCGTGGCTTCTCCTCAAATCCTCTAAAATAATAGCCAAGAAAGAGAAACGCACAGACCCACACAAAGAAAACAAGAGGGGAGAAGATGGTAAGCAAATGAGGTCAACAAATACTGAAAACTTGAAAAAGAAGAAACTGGTAACTGACTTAACAGACCTGGGAATACCAAGAGCCAAGGGCCTTTAGGGATGAGAACAATAAGAAGCAAGGCACACAAACTGAAGCGCCACTAGGCACCTCCCGTAATCTAAGGTATGAGGGCTAAGAATAGGAAGATTAAAGTCTAATATCCCCTCTGCTATCTCATGTCACTAGCTAATAAGTTTTTCTCTGCCCTGCCAGAGTACTGAGGGCTGTTTTCTGGAGGAGTTGATCACTGAGGGTCTGTCTTCAAGGATACATTAACAGCTGAGGACTGAGGTGCCAAAATGAAAATAGGCATTTAAAGAAACTTTACCTGCTGAACTGGAAGACTCACAGCCCCTTTTTGCTATGTCGTTCCTAAAATATTGGTAGGTTACTCCATTTCCAGAATGCAGAAAATGAAATACACAGAGGTTCCTCTTCAAAGGAACTTTCCTCCCAGTCTAATTAAGAATAGATAGTAACCTCTCTTAGAAGCAAAATTTACTCAAAGACCAGTGCTAATATTCTCAAATTCTGCTAGCTGTAATAAAGAAATCAATATACTCTGTTCTCAGCTTCCACATTTTAGCCTAGATATCTGCCCTGGCACACCTGAACCAATCCAAGCAAGCATTAGGTCATAGCCTATTCCTCTCTCTTATTTGGAAGTGTTTTTGCCTCTCTCAGCATTCCACAGGTTACTTCCTCTCTTCCTTTGTTCTCCTCTACCTTTACCTCTTTTGGGAAGTTCTAAGTTGCTAGCCAATCGGGTCGAGTATAGAATGTGAGATCCCGTTCCAGCCAATGGAAACCAGACACAGCAGTAGGGTGGATGGGTCAGGTTACAGATGACCCTGTCTCCTTTGTTTGTTTGTGCTCTTGTGGCTGGACTGCTGGCGAGGGCACCCTTTCTGCAGAAAGTAAACTAGCCTTGCTGAGGAATCCTTTGTCTCAGTGTTGATCTTTTGTGACACTGAACTCCTGTGCCCAACACAGGAGAAGTAGAAGACTCCCCTCTAGGGAATGAACAAGTCCAAGTCCTGCAGATACAGGAATTAGGGAATGCTCTGACCAAAAGGGCAGATCCTCTTTGGCCATCTACAGGGGAGCCTGCTAGAGAAAGCCCTGCCTATACATAGAGTTTGTAATCAGCACTAAAGGACTTCACTTTTAGATACACACTATCATCCAGGAGTCTCTACAGGAAAGTCTGTAGGAGGAGAGTCTCCAACACAAAAGATAGAGACTGAAATAAATAAAAGCAGTAGGGGAGGAAATCTCTAGGAAAAAAAAGTGACCTGACATCTGATACATTTGACCATAAGGCAAGCTAGAAGAAGAGATACATTAGAAAGATGATAGCAAGAGTGGTAAATCCTCACCAGATTTGAAGACCAAAACAAAACATAAGCAAACAAAAAAAAAAGAGGCAATTAATTTTTATAAAAACAATAAGTTTGACAACAAGCTTGTCTAACCCATGGCCCATGGGCCACATGCAGCCCAGGATGGCTTTGAATGAGGCCCAAAATAGATTTGTAAATTTTCTTAAAATATTTTATATATATGTGTGTGTGTGTGTGTATACATATATGTGTGTGTATATATATATATTTGTTTTTAGCTCATCAGCTATTGTTAGTGTTAGTGTATTTAATGTGTGGCCCAAGACAATTCTTCTTCCAATGTGGCCTAGGGAAGCCAAAAGACTGGACATCACTGTTCTACAAGAAAAGAAACATAATCCCAGGACAGTCTTGGCTCACCACAGTACTTATTTAGCTGTAATAAAGAAAAGATAACCAATATAACCAATGCAAACAAAAATATATGAAAACTACATTGGGAGAATGGGAGAAAGGATGTGTGTGGGAGAGGAATGATTCTGGAGAATCATCTTCATTTTCCATAGAAAGGGAAAAATAGATAATAACTAATAGCTAAAAATAGTAGTAGAAGCTTCCTGAAGAATAGCAAATGAATTGAAAATGGCTGCCTTTGTCGAGCAGGGACTGGACATGAGTCAGGCTGAGCCAGGAAACCACTAAATTTAAAAAAAAAATTATTCCTGGGCTCAATCGATCCTCTCACTTTAGCCTCAAGAGTAGCTAGGACTACTAGCTAAAAAAAACAGGTGTTTTATATTATGAACTTTATAGTACACTTTGGCTTTTTAAATTATGTATAGCAATCTGTGACAAAAATAAGCCCTTCAGTGTTCCAGACCCAGAGTCTGGCAGCAAATGAGCAGTGCACACCTTGCTCTCTAAAGGTATCTTCCACAAATATATTTAAATGAAAAAAAGTTGTCATCATTATTATTATTAAAGGCATTAAAACAGCAAATCCTAATTTGTAGGTACAAAATATAAGGGTAACTGCCAAGTTACTAAGAAAGGAAGGAGTCCTGGTTTTCCGACAACCAGTGTGGGACTCTAATAGAGGCACATGATCACAGGGCTGCCAATAGTTAAGGAAAACTTGGCAGTGTTACCAGGGTCCAGCTGTGTGGGGACACTGCTGGCTTTCAGCTTCTGGAGGCCAACACTCAGCTGTAAAGTAGGGCTGGTGAATCCTACACCCGTGGCAATGCTAGTCACTTGCACTCATCCCCCTGACAGGGAAAAAGCCCCTGGGGAGTGTTGGCTCCCACATGAAAGGTGTTCTACTGCCTACCTTGAGTTCATCTTTGCTCTGGAAGTTGTCCAGGAGGTGCTGGAAATGGGTGTCACACATCTGGCGGAGCAGTGAGAGAAGGCAGGACACATATTCGCCCTAGGGACCAACCCAAAAAAAACACTTAGCATGGCCAATTGCAAGGGCTGTGTTCCCCCCATCCATAGAGGGCAAGGAGAGAAGGGAGGGTATGAGATGGCCCCAATGATCATGGAAGAAAGATGACAAATCTGGCCCTTTAAAGCTTCTTTTCTGCTAAGGAAAGCCTGGAGGGATTGGGGGGGAATAAGGTCTCTGCAGTATGGGGCTACTGAAAAATCTTACACAATAATAAAGTAGTATTGCAAAGTGAGACAAATACTCTCCCTTTTTTTCCTAGGAAAGTTTTGGCTAAATAGTCTTTTGCTGCCAAGGCACTGTACTTAAGTCTATAGAGGATACTTGGAACAGGGGAGAGCTTAACCTTCTCTGGATAGAATTTGGATTCTGCTGATCCTGCTGGGCTAGAGCAGCCCTTACACAAGGACTTCTTTGGAATCTCCTAGAATTTGCACAGGGTTACTAGACTGGGCAAACAAAACACAGCAGATCAATATGCCTGTCTGAAAGGCAGATGAGTTAAAATTGACCTTTTTGAGGGGACAAGCTATGGGCTTTAAGACAAGTAGAAATTAAAGGATAAATATCAATGTTCAAAATGTCTTCAAGTTCCAACTGGGATACATGGAATAAAATCCTGCTTTAAGGACTTCAAAAACCATCTTATTGCAACTTTTGGCATGAAGCAGACAAGCATGGCCTCCTCTTAGTTGCCTCTTTAAAAGGGAGGGAGAACATTTACTTCTCGTGGGCAATTTTCAAATATTTATGAACTCGTGAGAAAGTGACAATAGTTTTTAGTCTCTCAAACCCTTTCTAGGTCTCTGAAATTATTATTCTTGTTTCTTGAGACGGAGTTTTGCTCTTGTCGCCCAGTTCAGAGTGCAATGGCACGATCTTGGTTCACTGCTACCTCCACCTCCTAGGTATAAGCGATTCTCCTGCCTCAGCCTCCCGAGTAGCTGGGATTACAGGCACCCACCACCACGCCTGGCTAATTTTTTTTGTATTTTTAGTAGAGACTGGGTTTCGCCATGCTGGCCAGGCTAGTCTTGAACTCCTGACCTCAGATGATCCATCCGCCTTGGCCTCCCAAAGTGTTGGGATTACAGGCATGAGCCACCGCGCCTGGCCTGAAATTATTAAAAATACATGTGTGCAAAATATATATGTTCATGAACCTCATTTTTATCTCAAAAATGGGCGTAAAAAGCTATAGGTAATTTGTCATGAGGGTCACATGGGTTAATGTATATAAAGCATTTAAGAATAAAGTCCATTATGTAAAAAGGTACTAAATAAATTACAATTATCATCATCCTCATTATAATCTACATAAAATGAATCACTTCCTCAGTACTGCTAAATGAGCTAATATTGGACAAGTGCATAAAGCAGATTCTGGCCCACAGCAAGCACTGTGTAAGTGTTGGTCAGAAGGCTGGGTGACCAGGAAATGCCAGGGTACATATACATATATGTTTTTTACTTACAGTGAGAGTGCCTTCAACAGAGGCTCCTAAAGGAGCAGACACTCTTTCCAAGCCCAGTGCTTCAGAACACGTACCTGCTCCCTGAGTGCTCCCTGCTCCCCCTAGCACGCTGTAGCTTGGCTTGCTCCAGAGGGTTTTCTTCAGAGAGATCACTGTAATCTCCCATCTGCCAATGGAAAGATTCCACGAAAACTGTTTATCATGTCCCCACCTCAGGGCTGAGAAGTCTATTCTGGAGTTGGGGTACATGAGGGGCCCAAGGTATCGTCTCTCTGCCCCTCCTGAGAAGCCTTCCCAGTTTGTTTCTCTTTTAGTTAGATTACAGAAAAATCATTATTCAGTAATGCCAGTGAAATTTACCTCATCACATTTTTCCAAATCCTAAAAATGTAGATACAAACATAATGGACAAAAGCAACTAATTTGTAGATAGAAGCCAATTCTGAGAAAATTATTCTGTCCTGTACATCATTTAGGAGAACCTATATGAGGGGGTTCCTAGAAGAAGTAGTCTGTTTTTCAACTTCAACCTCTTACTACATCTTACATACATCCCTGCTTCATTCCACAATATAGAAAATGACTTGGCTGAAAGTATGCAGGAAAACAGGACAACAAACATTCCCCGGATCTGCCCTAAAGAAGAGTCCTGGGAATATGAACCTAGAGCTTTCAGAGTGGAGAGAAGAGTCAGATTCAAGAAGGGAAGAGGGCAGCATGCTGACAACCATGCAGGAGGGGAGGCTGAGATGAAGGTGATGGGATGGTAAGATGGAGGGGGAGTACTGTGGAGAAGCCCCAGGTTAGAAAAGAAGGCAAGAAAACCTGGATGTTAGTTACTAACAGTGATCTCGGCTGTGCACTGCGGGCACCGCTGCCCTCTTACCGCCTCCTGAGCGTGCGATTTGCTCATGATGGTGAGCAGAGTCTGCAAGAGCACGTCCAGGAGGCTCTCCACCATCATCTCTACTTCCTCCATGACATCTGCCTCCTGGAGCGAGCAGTAAGAGAGCACACCGTTAGCACCAAGCCAGGCTGAAGTACAGCTGGCAGCACTTACTATGTCAGGTACATCAGCAGTAGTCTTCTGGATTCCCAACACCAAGCTCTCAGTCTCACCAACATGCAGTGTCAAGGAACCCAGGACAGTGGCTTTGACAGGAGGTGAGGCACAACTGCCACTGCTGCCCAGGCATGGTGGCTGGGGCCTTACCCTAACTCAACACCACCTGCAACTTCGAATCTCAAGCAGATACATTAATTTTGATATACAGGGCAGAAACAAAGATCCTGAGTTAAATGTTTTCTTTGATTTCCCTAGAATAGTCAGGAGAAGGCACAACTCTGCTGACACTTTTGGAAATGATAAAGTTTGAGAAATGGTGACAAATTCACACTACAGGGTGTGGCAGCAGTACCTTCACTAGTGCATAGCACTAATGCACAGAAGTAGCTCATCTTTCTGAGCACCCTGTTTTCTCCTCAGGGTTTTCCCCTTGGGTGCCCTCAATTTTTGCCAGCCTGGACTGCTGCCTAGATATGCCTGGGTCCACTTCTAGCTCCTCAGCTCTCTCCTTCGTGTTACAGGGTCCATTTGAAGGACTCCAGCCTCAGTGCATCTTTCTCTGGCCACCTCACAAAAACAATGAAGCATGTCTCTTCACTGAGGGCCACTTCCTAATTTAGGAAGAATCTGTTATCCTATTATAGACCTCTCACATTCATCTCAAATTCTGTAGCATGATTTTAATTATCTCACAAAGAGATTCCTGTTGCCCCTTGTCTAAGATGTTTATACTATCACTGGTCCTAGTGTCTATCCTTCACCCATCCATCAATCTATCATTCACTAAACATTTACCATGTGCCAGTCACTATTTGTGAACCTGAATATATAGAGGTGAACAAGAGAGATAATATCTCTGCTCTCATTGAGCTTCAATTTCATTGTTCCTCTACCCATCCATCCATTTTAACTATACTCTGTCCCATTCCACATGAAGAATTTGAGTAGCTCTTGGGACCAAAGTCATTTTTCCTATCTGTCGAACTGATGGTAACACTTACCAGTGATGTATCTTTGGGTAGTCATAAGCAACTCATTACACTGACTCTAGCCCCACAAACACAACCAAACCATCGCCTCCAGGTTTTTACTGGTTCCCACTCCTGTTCCATTCCTCCTCTTTTTTTGCTTCAATTTCTCTCCTTCCTTTAGCAATAAGCTGTCCCCCCCTCAATACAACCTTGGGCTACGAGTAGATCTTATGTGCTTGGTGTGGCTTCTCTGAGGCCTGGTGGGAAGAAGAGCTGCCAAGTCTTACCTGGAGCCAAGAGCAAATAATAGGGCCATTATCACCATCATAGTCACTCTCTGCCAAGCTAGACCCCTGTCACCAGATGGTACTTTGAGTTTGAACATCAGAGTATCCTATTGAGTCCCTGTCCCCTGTTCAAACAAAATATACTTTTTTTTTTAGGTGCCTCTCCCACTACATGTAGCTAGCCTATCCTTGTATATTCTTATCACCTGGTAACTGCCGTTCATTTTAAATGCATGTGAAATTCTATTCTCTAGCAACTTAATAAAATGGTATAATTTAAAAATCCATTTTTGTTTTACATTTCTTTCCTTATGCTTTCCTATCATTTCTGAATTTTCTATAAGTAATATGCCTTTCTTCTATTATCAAAAGTACATGAAATAAGTATCATTAAAATAAATTCCTACTCTCACCTGTGCCTGATTCATATCTCTTCTTCTCTCTTTCCCTACCTCAGTTCATCCCCGCCTACCACCGATTTCTTTCAAAAAGAAAAAATAAAGAGGAAAGAAAATGGGTAAAAGCAGTATCAGTTGAAACCCGACCCTTAAAGCACAATTCTACCATCCTCTGAGGCTCAGAGCTCTGGTGGGCAACATTAACCTCTTGTATGCCCTGACCTCATTTGGCACAGTATAGGAACGCCATATGGGTGGAATCAAGCTGTCAGGAAGCTAACAGAAGAGCCTGAATAAGCAAGCTACCTCTCAAGTCTGGGTCTGCCTCCCTGTGCTCATGCCTGAATATTCTCAGAAAACTCCCAAGAATGCAGAATTAAAACCTATTGATGGAAACAGCATGACACAGAATTGGGCTTTGTGGTACTACAGATAACTATATTTTTGGGTAGATTTGATAGTGCAACCTTTAAAAATAGCAAGAATACGTTGTACAGAGAAACCTGTTGGGAACACACAGGCCACCATTCACTTGGGCACCTTCCTGTCACTCATGAAAGCATCTGTGACTGAAAAGTGTACAAAGCGATCTTTGTTGGTCTGCCTCTGGCTAAACTAATACAAGACTAGGGAAGAGCTGAGCAGGGTGGAGTGGGTGTGGGGCTACTACCAGAGAGCTGGTCTTGACGATGGAGAAGATGCTGCCAAGAATTCCTGAGCAAATAAGCAGCTCTTTCTGCTGCCTCAGGTGAAGGTGAATGTGATGGAGAACCACAGGAAGCAGGATGCGGCGGGATTCTGGGAGAGAAAACACAAAGGTGAAGAAGCCTTTAGAGGAGAACTAGCTACTGCGGGAAGCCAGTGGCATTATAGGACCTAGCTATTCTCAAAGCAGGTGGGGTTGAGACTAGAGCAAAAGTGAAGGTAATCCCCTTACCTTACAAGGGCCTGAAAGCTCACTGCCTGGAAATTATAAGCCATCACATGACATTATTCTTCCATCTTTTCTTTGTTCTCATTTCAATACCAAGCATCCATGATATTTTGTGCAGGATGAATGTTAGGAGTCTGCTTCATTTGGAATGAAGTCTCTTTTTATTGGAGACAGGGTCCCATTCTGTCACCCAGGCTGGAATGCAGTGGCATGATCATGGCTCCCTGCAGCTTCAACTTTCTAGGATTGCTAGGGCAATCCTCCTACCTCAGCCTCCCACACAGATGGGACCACAGGTGTATGGCACCGCACTCGGATAATTTTTTAATTTTTTGTAGAGATGAGGTCTCACTATGCTGCCCAGCAAGTCTTGAACTCGTGGGCTCAAGCGATCCTCCCTCCTTGGCCTCCCCAAATGCTAAGATTACAGGTGTGAGCCACCACACCCGGTCCCAAATGAAATCTCTTTAATGAATAGACTCCAAATTAAAAGCACAGTTTACAGTGAAAATTCCATTTAAATGGTATACTTAGTATGAACTACACTGACTGAACTTGCAGGCTTGAAATGGATTATAGATTGTCCCTCTTTATGCCCTGGCTAGGTAGGTAGTCTGACACTTCCACCCCTGTGAGCATTTACCTTGCCACAGCCAACAGGCCTGCTTCCTTTCCCCCACAGCCTTGTGAGATTGCTGCTCAGTGTGTACACAGCAATGAACACAATTGAAGCACGACCTTTGTATTGTCACAAGACTTTGATAATTAGCCAACATTTATCACCAATCCCACTAAACACTTCAAATGATTTTCTTTTACTTTCTCCCAATGTTACCAGAATAGCACTTTCATCAGAAGGTGACTGTATTTAGAATCCCAAATTCAGGAAGGCTGTCCTACTTCAAGCTCCTTTATTAACTCATTCTGAGACCTCAGGCAAGTTAACTCCTCTCATGAGCTTTATTTTCCTCATCTGTAGAATGGGGTGTAAGGGCCTCTTCTATAATACATTTACTTCACAGGGGAGGTTAGGGGACAAGTGAAATGCAAATGTGAATGTGTTTCTGGCACCCTGTATTCCTACATGGTCAGTGATGGTGTGACTCTGCAGGTCCCATCATATCTGGCCAGCATGATTTAGTCAGATTATCAGTAACACAAACAAGCCATGGCATTTTGGATTTATCGTTCTTATCTGTCTTTAGTTAAGAGTTCCACATGAAATTCAGACAGAAAATCTTTTTCAGTCAAAGACAAATTACATGATATATAAGAGATTTGGGCCTGCCTTGTCAAATGCTTAGAATATGTTCAAACAGGATAGAATACTAGCTAGTCTAGATTTAAAAGGCTGCTTGAATAAAAAAAGTTGATACCACACTGTGTGGAAGAAAATACCAACATACTTAGTATTTGTAATAACCAATAGCTGCTTACAGAAAAAAACAGTGGTTTGTTACTAGAACCTGCTGAAGAAGAGACCAAACTTATACTTTGAGAATACCAGTGCTGGTTAAAGGACATCACTGGTAAAGAACCTTTTGCTTCAGGGAAGATGCTGCAACTCAGGCATTCAATGAAAGTGAGATGCAAACGAAATTTTGGCAGTGTCTGTCATCTAAAATCCAATTACATAGTCCAAGGCCACATAAGTATTAAGAAAATTTTTCTTAAGTGTTTGTGTGAAGCAGCAAGTACATGCAGAGATATTAGAAATAAAGTATGTCAGTGAGAGCAGTCTGCTGTTCCCCTTCCCACATATTTTGAAAGCATTTTTTTTTTTTTTTTTGAGACAGAGTCTTGCTCTGTCGCCCAGGCTGGAGAGCAGTGGTGCGATCTCAGTTCACTGCAAGTTCCGCCTCCTGGGTTCACGCCATGCTCCTGCCTCAGCCTCCTGAGTAGCTGGGACTACAGGCACCCGCCACCACGCCCGGCTAATTTTTTGTATTTTTAGTAGAGACGGGGTTTCACCGTTTTAGCCAGGATGTCTCAATCTCCTGACCTCATGATCCGCCCACCTCGACCTCCCAAAGTACTGGGATTACAGGCGTGAGCCACCACGCCCAGCTGAAAGCATTTTCTTTTAAGCAGTGCACAAAGCTCAAGTGTGTACAGTGGCCTTCAGTGACAGTGTGCCCAAACCATTAATAAAATCTTCAACATAGGAGCTGAAGAGAGAATTGTTTACCAGCATAAACAGTTACTGATCGAAAAAAGATGACTTTCTTGGTGGCAGCTTTACTACTACTAGCAATACCATACGCTGGCAGAGCTAAGTCAAAGGGAACACCTACTTAGTATTACAAATATGTGTAGCATTGGGCTGAGAAATTTTTGGTCTTATACTTTAAAAGTCAAACCTGGCCGGGTGCCATGTCTCACGCCTATAATCCCAGAACTTTGGGAGGCTGAGATGGGTGGATCATGAGATCAGGAGTTCGAGACCAGCCTGGCCAACATGATGAAACCCCATCTCTACTAAAAATACAAAAAAAAAAAAAAAAAAAAAAAAATTTAGCCAGGCATGGTGTTGCATGCCTGTAGTCCCAACTACTCGGGAGGCTGAGGCAGGGGAATCATTTGAACCTGGGAGGCAGAGGTTGCGATGAGCCGAGATCACGCCACTGGACTCCAGCCTGGGTAACAGAGCGAGACTGCATCTCATTTAAAAAAAAAAAAAAAAGTCAAACCTAAAAAATTAACCACCAAAATTATAAAAATTCTAATAATTGTTTTGCTGGTGTTTTGGATTTATTTTGGTGCCTCAGAAGTTTATCCTAGCACAATGATATTATATTTAAAGAATTAGGCTCATATTGATCTTAATATATGGCCATTGAGCATTTGGTTGTCCCTGCAAGGCAGAACTTGATCACATATGATGTGGCTTCAGGAACAAAACCAGAAGTTCTTCGTGAAAGACAGACTAGACTGCTAATATATTAGATTGTCCTGACCCTTTGGGGAGCATAAAGAGCTCCCTGTCTATTCCTCTCTCTAATCCTTGTTGGTTCTCCAAAGACTTTCGGAAAATGTATCGACTGGTATGGCAAGGAAACAAGAAAGCACAGGGTCCTCAGGGCCCCCTTTCAGGGCCCTTTTTTTTTTTTTTTGAGACAGTCTCGCTCTGTTGCCCTGGTTGGAGTACAATGGCATGATCTCAGCTTACCGCCACCTCTGCCTCCTGGGTTCAAGCAATTCTCCTGCCTTAGCCTCCTGAGTAGCTGGGATTACAGGTGCCCACCACCACGCCTGGCTAATTTTTTGTATTTTTAGTAGAGATAGGGTTTTACCCTGTTTGCCAGGCTAGTCTTGAACTCCTGACCTCAAGTCATCTGTAGGGCCTCTTTTATTTTCTTGGCTTATCCTTGTTTCCTTGAGATAGTCCCTTCTCTCTTCCTCTCCTTCCCTTCCTGAGTGTATGGCAAGCTCTGTTCTTGGAAGCTGTGGGCCTGGAGGCAGGGCCCTCATGAACAAGATTAGTGACCTTTTAAAAAAAGAGACCCCAGAGAGCTGCCTTGCCCCTTCTGCTATGTGTCAACACAGAGAGAAGACAGCTGTCTATGAACCAGGAAGTAGGCCTCACCAGACACTGAATCTGCTGGTGCTTTGATCTTAGACTTCCTAACCTCCAGAACTGAGAAAGTTTGTTGTTTACATGCCACCCAGTCTATGGTATTCTGTTACAGTAGCCTGAATGGACTCAGACACCACCCCAGTGACATGCCCGTATGTGTGGATTCCTAGGAATAAACTGTGAGTAAGACAGTAGGCCTAGGTCTTGGCTACATTCTCTATTATAGTTTACCAAAATATTCTGCATCTTAAGGGTCACTGGTTTCTTGCATAATGGTTGAGGAAACTGATCCTTTGATTATCACTTGGCTATCACCCCTAGAAGGAAGGAAAGGTGAGTCTGACTCTCATCCCAACTTGATTTACCTGAGAAAGAAAACAGGCGGCTATCCACTGTCCTGGCAATGGACTGCAGCTTGACCACGTCCATTGACTGCCCAATGTGCACAGTGCTGGGCATGCTCCCCAGTGTCCCTCTCACAAACTCTGCCACCTCTTGCACGGTGAACATTTGCAGCAGCTCGTCAAAGATGGTTGGGAAAGAATTGAGGAGTGCAGCCTGCAGAAGTAAATGAAGCTGTGGTTAGCACAGAATTAGGGTGTGTGTCTATCTTTCACACTCAGACAATGACACAAGGTGGTGAGAGGCTGAGAAGGCACTGTAGCATCTCTGCCTTAGGTGGGCTCCTCCCTGGCCACTGACTACAGCACTCAGGCATGGAGCAGGAAAAACCAAAAAGGAAACCAAAACAAGGTAATTTACTGGGATCCAGGAAATCTGAGGCTTTCATAAGTTGCATATAGCATTTGCTGGCAAAAGAATGGGGTATAAAGAAAAATCTGCTCAGTGTGGCTTAAGATCCACAGCTGTTTTTGTTCATAAAATGTATTTATATTTTTGTTCATCTCTATGATCAAGTTCTTAACTTTCCAATTTTGGTTCCAAACTCAAGAAAGTATGGCAGAGAGCTGAGTTCCTTCAAGCAGCATCAGCTGAACTCTGCTCACAGCCCTGCAGTCAATGATCCAGTTCTGAGAGCTGTACCATTTCCCCAGAACAGAGATTCTTATTTGCAACCATGAAATATGAAGGCTTCATAAATTATTTTTTTCCTGGTAGTTTCCTTATTTTGATGCCTGGTAGTCTCAAGAGTAAATTCAAGAGGATGAGAAATCTGTGTATTTGGTTAGCCATAAACTCTTGAGGACTGTTGACGTGGGCTTAGAGTTCAGCGACCTAGACACCCAAGCAAGGGGAGTGGGAGTGTGTATGTTAGGCTTTTCTTCTAGGATGTAAGCTCTGGTAGACCACAAGGTAGTTTCTTGAGAACAATCTGATAATAGAACAGTTCCAGAACCTTTGGGAGGCAGAGCACTATAGGAGAAAGAGAATGGGTTTTGGAATTAGACACGAGTTCAAATTCGAGCTTTACCACTTACCTGACACATAAACTTTGGCAAGTTAACCTAATTCTCTGTTTCCCCATCTATAAAATGGGGATGATGCTATTACTTATTTCTTGATGCTGGTATGAGGGAAATTTTTACATAAAGTTTCCAGTAGAGTGTCTGGAACACAATAGGCCTTTGATATATGCTGGTTCTCATGATTTTCTCTTGTGGAAGTGGAAGCAGCATGAAGACTTTTTTTCACTTCTCAGTCCCCTTATGCCATTAACTCAGGATTTACAAAGAGAAATGGAGTGCCACCTTGAGACAAAAAGGTGAGAACGCACCCTTCCCAAATGGCAGGCTGGGGAGGGAAGGCTGTTTTCCTGACTGCTCTGTCAGGCAACAGACACTGGCTTAGAGTGAGTGAAAATTTATGCCATGGAAAACAGGCTTGTGCTGTGGTTTTTATTCAGGCCAGGCCCAACTGGAGCACTTATATGAGTTCTATCTGCAGATTTATAACTCCTGGAATATTGAGGAGATTGTTTCACAGTAATTAGAACCAGAACAAAACATATAGTTAGCTGCTTAGATATAAAAAACAAAGGAGTGGTGAAGTAGGTGCTTTATAATCAATAACAAACAGTAACTCATTTGCTCTCTTAAATGGTGAAATGTCCTGTACTTAGACACCAGGACAGGACTTTCACACCCTGACATCTTCTAGTGGTCATAATCAAAGATATAAAGTCTAAGTGAATAATATGCATACGTGTGTGTGTGTATCTCTCTCTCTATATATATATACACACATATACATACACACACACACACACACACACACACATATATGTGAAACTCACGAAACATGAGCCTTGCACCAAAGAAGGTGGTCAGATTCTCACCCAGGTCTTAGCTGAGACCAGATCTAAGCTATTTATCTTGATGTAGTAGGAGTGTGCCACTCAATACAGGGCATTACTGTGTTACCAAGTTCCCAGAAAGCATATGTGCATTGCTTTGCTAGCTACCTCTAATCTCTCCGTATTCTGGCTGTGGGAGGGGAATGGAAGAGGAACAGGAGCAGCTTAAGGTACTTAGAAGGGGAGATCACAGGTGTCTTCCTTACAGAAGCACCTGGAAGCCTTGAGGTACTCCCTTATAGAGTTCCTTATAGACTCCCTTATAGAGTATATTTCCTTATAGAGTCAAGGAAGTCTTAAGGTACTCCCAGTTGATTACCTGTCCTCTGGGCTGAGAAACCTACAGGCAACTGGTATCAAGAGGCAACACAGAGGCAAGTGGAAAACAAAAATTTTTTTTAAATTTTTTGTTTTTTAATTTTAATCTTAAATGAGACAGTTTAAATATATACTTGGGCTAACAATATACTTGGCAGTGACTGAATGACTGGACATGAGAGAGGCTGTCTGATCTTTGCTTACAGGTTTTGGCGTAATATTTAGCTTCAAAAAGTTGAAGAATATAATCCATTACATAAAAATTCTGACATTCATTTTATAAGGAAAAATACTTCCCTTTTGACTGGGGTAATGAATTCTTGATTTGTTCTAGGGTAAGACTGTGTGGAAAGGTAACAGATTAGCTGGCCAGGCAGTTTTGTTCGTTTTCGAGACAGTGTCTTACTCTGTGGCCAGGCTGGAGTGCAGTGGTCCAATCACAGCTCACTGTAGCCTTAACTTCTTGGGCTCAGGTGATTGGCCAGGTAGTTTTAATATACGAAACCAAATTTTCTTCCCATACTGGTATTTCTAATATTGAATTTAATCTAATCTTTTTTTGAAGTTTCATTTTAATTAATTTATTTATTATACTTTAAGTTCTGGGATGCATGTGCAGAACGTGCAGGTTTGTTACATAGGTATACACGTGCCACGGCGGTGTGCTGCACCCATCAATCCGTCATCTACGTTAGGTATTTCTCCTAATGCTATCCCTCTCCTAGTCCCCCGATCCCCCCTAGGTGTGTATGTTCCCCTCCCTGTGTCCATGTGTTCTCCTTGTTCACCTCCCACATATGCCACATATGAGTGAGAACATGTGGTGTTTGGTTTTCTGCTCCTGTGTTAGTTGACTGAGAACGATGGTTTCCAGCTTCATCCATGTCCCTGTAAAGGACATAAACTCTTTGTTTTTTATGACTGCATAGTATTCCATGGTGTATATGTGCCACATTTTCTTTACCTAGTCTATGACTGATGGGCATTTGGGTTGGTTCCAAATCTTTGTTATTGTCAACAGTGCTGCAATAAACATCCGTGTGTGGCTGGGCGCGGTGGCTCATGCCTGTAATACCAGCACTTTGAGAGGGTGAGGCAGGTGGATCACCTGAGGTCAGGAGTTCAAGACTAGCCTGGCAAACAGGGTGAAACCCCATTTCTAATAAAAATATAAAAAATTAGCTGAACATGGTGGTGTGCACCTGTAATCCCAGCTACTCAGGAGGTTGAGGCAGGAGAATCGCTTGAACACGGGAGGTGGAGGTTGCAGTGAGCTGAGATCGC